GTGCTGTCAGTGCAGAGCCCTATGCCGGCCTCAATCTCACCAACTGTGAGATCATGACCTGAGCTAAAATCAAGAGTCAAATGCTTAGCCAACTAAGCCATTCAGTTCTCCTGTGTAATGTTCTATATTTATGCTAACTAAATTAAGTGGCTTTTCATTTATATTGCTTTAATTTTTAAGTGTTTAATTAAAAAAATAAGGGACAGTGGTCTTCAATAGGAGAAAAGATTCTTCTTTGCTCTGGGTTTGGAGGATGGGCTAAATGTTTAGAGCATTGGATTTGATTATAGTTCTGGTCCTGCCATGAATTAGCTCTGTGACCTAGGACAAGACGTTTGGTATTCCTGAATTTTTTTTTTTTCATGTATAAAATAAGGGATCTGCTTTGTATCTATGAATCTACATTTTTTTTTAATGTACTGACACACCTGCGGCAATCCCATGTCACCATAGGGGCGTGTGTGTGTGCACATGCGTGTGAACATGCAGGAGAGGATTAGGAGTGATATGTGTGGATGGAAATATTCCCAAGTTTCTAAGATATGTCTCCTTTGGGAGTGGAATAGTATATTTGCACTTCTTGCTGCTGAGAATCAGGTGTCAGAACACAAGATTATTTCTGAAATTCCAGAATTCACTTGAGTTGTAAGCTGTACTGGTCCTATGAGGAGATGACCACTCACCTACTTAGATTTTATGTGTGCCCCCAATGACTTCCTCACTCAAAAGCTTATCCAACCTCGTTCCTTCCCCCCATCATCCCAGCCTCAGCCTCCTTTCATGGAGTCAGTTTTGCCTGCTTTGGCCTCAAGTTTTGATTGTTACAGTCACTGTTGGGTTAGGATAGGTTTTGCCAAGTATTTTCCAAGGAACAGGAGCCATGTGAGATGCTTGCATCAAAAGGACTCTCATAAAATATGTTTCAGAAATGCTGCCTATTATACTCTCTTCTCCCAAATATAGCAGTCTTAAAATAAGGAATCCTGTTTCATTCTTTTTAACCTGGAGCTCCCTAACTCATGTGAGCATTAGACACTTTTTTCCATATTTAATACCCATTAACTTCATATAGAACTACTGTTCCACAAAGTGTTTTTTTTGGGGAGATGATTGGTTACGTAACAAAAAAGGGGTATTGTCTCCAGAATTAGATAACTAAGACTCATATTTGCTTTGCGGGAGAGGTTTTTGGGTCCTTTTCTATTAAGCTGAATCAATTTATTTGATTAGCTCCTTGAAATCTAGATCCCAAGGGGAGGACGTTTTTGGAAAGGTTAAGAAAAGGGATGGTATGGGAGGCAGGAGCACAGCAATAGCAATTGCTGGGTGTTGGTGGATTAGAGAAGACAGAAGTGATAGTGGTTTGGGGCATGAAGGGTGTGATGGGCTAAAAAATGATTCCTAAAGGTATCCTCCTCAAATTCCTGGAAGCTGTGATTGTGATCTTATTTGGAGAAAAGATCTTCGCTGATGTAATTAAGCTGAGGATCTTGACATGAGATCATCCTGGATTATCCAGATGAACCCTAAGTCCAATGACAAGTGTCCTTACAAGAGACACACAGAGAACAGACACACAGAATAGGGGCCGTATGACCACAGAGGCAGAGAATAGAGTGATGTGGCCCCAGATTAAGGACTGCCAACAGCTAGAAGAGGCGAAAGTTGGAACCTCCCCAGGAGTCTCCAGAGGGAGGCAGCCCTGTCCACTCCTTGATTCTGGACTTCTGGTCACCAGAACTGTAAGACAGTAAGTTTCTCTTGTCTCAGGCAGTTTCTGGTAATGTGTTGCAGCAGCCCAAGGAAACTAATACAAGGTGGAAGAGGTCTGAAAAGGAAATGGTGAAGCCAAACCTCAGCCACTTTAGGGTACTGACCATAGTTGGCTCTGTTTACCACAGCACAGGCTCAGTGGGAGCATGAGCTCCAAACTCGGCAGGTTTTGGAGAAGCCTTCATCCTGGGGTGGGATTTGTGGCCCCACCTCAGCAACAGCTCTTGTCATGTGGGACATTAACTGTCTTCCCCTTTTCCCACAGGCCACAGGGGCAGAGTGCTGCACCTGGCTTTGAGTCCAGACCAGACCCGAGTGTTTTCTGCCGCAGCCGATGGCACAGCCTGTGTATGGAACTGCTGTGAGTCACTCAGCCCCTCTGTGAGCTCCAGTTTCCTCACTTTGAAGTGAGAATGATGACATTGGCCTTGTCTTCTCCATGGGGTTGTGGTGAGGATCAAATAGGATAAAGTGCTTTTCTTGCGGTGAATATCTGTTTTCCTGACTTTCTTTCTCAGGTTGCTTTATTTTCCTCACTTCCTCCTGTTGGATTTCCCAGACATTGTCTTGGCCTCTTTTCTACTTTCCTCTCCCTCCTGATCCTCTTCTTCCTCCTCCTTTTTCTTCTTTTTTCTCTATCTCTTCCTTGTTAGAGATGCATTTCCACTGCTAGAGTCAGAATATCTATAAAAGAGATTTCCAAACTCCTTTTTCCCACTTGACTTTCCAAGCTCCAGCCTCACCCTTCTTTCTGCCTCTGGGTATTTCCTTTCTGAGATCCTTTCTTATCTTTAGCTCAAACTCAGAATGTTAAAAATACATACAAATAATATTTTGCTTGAAAAATATTGATTAAAATCCTACTGTATGGTAGGCAGTATGTTAAGCATGCATATTATTTCCTCTCAAAATGAGATCTTCCATAGGACTTCCTTGTCCCCTTTCGTGGTCTCATCCTTATCCTGGTCATCCCGTCACTCAGGAAACATGCAGATTATTCTGCTGCACGTTTACTCCATTTACCTTTTGTTCTCTTTCTCTCCCTTTTGTTTCAGCCTAGGCATGTCCTGAATGCCTGATGACCACTCTGTTGTAATTCCTTCTAACTGTTTTTCCTATCTTTATTCTTCATGGGTCTCCACACCACTGTTAGGTTACATTTCTATAAGCACTGTGGTGATCTTCTTAGGCCCCTGCTCAGAAACCTTCCATGACTCCATATTACCTTAGTCCCTCACCTCAACCTTCAGGTCCCAAGCCCAGAACCTGAAGTATGATACCTGTGCTTACCTTGGCTCTGCCATAAACTGACTGAATGGCCTTGGGTTTGTTATAACATTTATAAGAACAGGAATTTGGATTTGATAACTGCTAAACTGTTTTTAGGCTCAATCAGGCCATTGTTCTTTTGTTCAATTACCTTTTTAAAAAATGTTTATTTGATAGAAAGGGCGTGATCAGGGATGGGACAGAAGGAGAGGGGGATAGAGGATCTGAAGTGGGACTGTGTTGACCCTGGGCTAAGTCTTGTGATTTCCTGCCTTGATGCCTTTGTTGGAGCTTTTCTTCTAGTCTGGAATTCCTACTCTTCATTTTCTTTGCTCATCTGCTAAGTCCAAACCTCTCCAGCAAGTGTTTTGAGATGATGTTACCTAGGTTTGAACTCTTGGTATCAGTCTATACCACCCATTTGATATTAATATACTATTCAGATCAAGATATGAACATTTATTATACCTTAAAGACTTCCTTGTACCCACTCTTAGTCAGCACCTCTCCATTATTCTGACATCTATCCCTATTGTTAGTTTTGCCTTATGCAAACCTTCAGATAAATGGAATCACACACTATATATTCTTTTTGTCTGACTTCTTTCACTCAATATTAAGTTTGTAAGATTAATTCATATCATTACATGTATCTGTAGATTTTTCTTTTTCTTGCCGTGTAACATTCCATTGTATAAATGTACAATTGTTTATCCATTTTATTGATGAATATTTGAGCTATTTTCAGTTTCAACTTTAAGAATAAAGTTGCTGTGCACATTCTTAAACATGTCTTTGGTGGACAAAAGCACTCATTTCTGTTGGGTATATACTGAGGTGTGGAATGGTTAAGTCATAGAATATACGTCATTGACAACTTTCCTAAGAAGTACCAGTTTACACTTCTACCAGCAATGAATGAGGGTTCCATGCAAGTACTTTTTAAGTGGACTTCTAAACCTGTAATATTTCTGGTAGGGACTATTCCATCCTCTTGTTGCTGTTAAAATCCTAACTAGGAATTAGGGATGATAGTAGGTATCTACAGGATCATCCTAGTGACTCTCTTAGAGCCTCTGTTTTAGATATCAGAACCAGACCTCACTTTTTAGTGTAGGGATTCCCATCACTAGCTGCATATTTGTATCACTGTGGTGATTAGATAAAGAATACTATGTCCTGGGTCTCACTGAATACAATTAAATAAAAATTTCTAGAGGTGGGGCCTGAGCATTGGTAATTGAGCTAGGCTTCCTTCTTTGTTTTAAGAAGCTGTCTCTTAGTGTTGATGTGTGTTCTTGGTTTGGGTATACATTGTGTGTGCATGCACACACATGCATATCCCTAAAGGAACTAATGGAAATTGAAGAAATCCATTCACATAATCACATCTTGAAGGGGCTGCTGGACTGATGACTATCCACTGAGTTCAATGTGATGAATAACAACATGGAATTTTTTCAAGGAAAACTTTGAGCACTCACTCCCTAGTATGTGATGGCAGCCACTGTAGCCACCATGTTGATTGGCCCTACCCAGGCTCAGAGACGAAGAGAACCAGGAAATCACCTAGATAATCTAAGGCTTAAATACCAACTAATGAGAAAGGGGGGTGACTTTCTCTTGTATACTTTTCTTGTGTGTCCAGGTGTTTCATTTGTGTTCCCTAAATTTTAATTTCTATTTCTCACCTGCCTTTGGAAAAACACCATAAGGCATTTCCTCTTCTAACTCAAATGCTCCAGACTGGCTGTTTCTGTTTCCTGCAGAATTGCTGGGTCCAACACTGTTTTTGTTACTAGACAGACCTGACCTTATTGTCACTCCTGATGGGTCCCAGTGAGATGCTGAATAATGCAAGCAAAGTATGATTGTCACTTGACACATGGATGACACTATGACATTGGTTTCCTCCTGTCTCCATTGCATTATCCACAAGGTTACTTTGCCAGTGCAGATCTGCCCACTAAAGTTATAAGAGAAATGGATACAGTTACACAAATTGATTTTATTTATGATAACATTAACAAGTGATGGCAAATGAAATGAAATACAGTTATCTAAACTGCCCCTTCATAGTCTTATTTATCCAGTTGAGATACTTCTGTGAGAGAAGAGTATAGATGCCAGGTCCTCGAGGGTCTCCGCATTTCCCTGGAAGGCCAAAAGCAGTAATGCCTCTATAAGTACCCTCACATATCAAAGGGCTTCCAGAATCTCCCTGGAGGAAAACAAGATGGGTAGTGGAGATCAGCATGGAACGTGATCACTAGTGGAATGGAAGAGGTTCCATTTAACGTGGAGCATTCAATGTGGAGTTAAGACCAACCTTGACTTAAATGAAAATTAGTGCTTAAAAGTTCAAAATGTTGGGAAATATTTTGATATTTTGAAAATTGGCTTACTCAACTTATTTGTAAACCAGTGAACATGAAATAAAATGTATTATTGTTCACGTTATCTACTAATTTTGAGACTGATTGTGCTTTAGAAGGAAAACCCTCCTGGGGCACCTGGGTGTCTGAGTCGGTTGAGTACCCGACTTTTGATTTTGGGTCAGTTCATGCTCTCATGGTTCAGCCCTGTGCTGGGCTCTGTGCTGACAACGCAGAGCCTGCTTAGGATTCTCTCTCTCCTCCCTCATCTCTGCCCCTCCCCTGCTTGCACTCTTTCTCAAAACAGATAAATAAACCTTAAAAAAAAAAAATAAGGGAAACCCTCCTATTTGCATTTTAAAAAATGTTTATTTGTTTATTTATTTTGAGAGAGAGTGACCATGAGTGGGGAGGGGTAGAGAGAGGGAGAGAGAGAATTCTTTTTTTTTATTAAACAAAATTTTTTTAATGTTTATTTATTTTTGAGAGAGACAGAGTGTAAGTGGGGGAAGGGCAGAGAGAAAGGGAGACAGAATCCAGAGCAGTCTCCAGGCTCTGAACAAGCTGTCAGCACAGAGCCTGAGGTGGGGCCTGAACCCACAAACCACAAGATCATGACCTGAGCCAAAGTTGGACACTTAACCAACTCAGCCACCCAGGCACCCCAGGAGAGAGAGATTTCTGACATGGGGATCTGTCCCACAACCTGGAGGTCATGACTTGTGCTGAATCAAGAGTCAGATGCTTAACCAACTGAGCCACCCAGGGGTCCCTGTCATTTTCTTAAAATGCTTAATAATTCAAGAGGTAAAAGAGTCAAATGCAGATGGGATGTTGAGGCAAAGAGTAAATACCATGTTTCCTCATCTCTCCAAGCAGATAATTGTTTTCCCAAAGGAACAAAACCAAAGCAAATTTTCCCTTCATCCTGTCAAATAGAAATTTCTCCCTCAAGTCTCTTTGGAGCATCTGACACTAGATGGGAGGTCCCAGAAGCCAGTGATCGCACTTCAGAGCTAACTGCCTCCACTAGCAGAGCCCTTTCAGTTAGCTGTGGGTCAATGCTTTATGCATCCTGTGCCACCCACTGTGTGATCCTGTTTTCTCTCGTGGAATTCTAGAATCAGCATATTTAAATGTATTTGAGATCCAGAGTCTGAAGTGGCCATTTCACTACTCTGGCTTTAGGAAAGATTGTTGGTGTTGCACAGAGGGCCACTGAGGCATACACATGGAGCTCTGCGAGCCCCAGGTCTGAGGGCCCAGCTCCTTCTCAGCCATGTGAAGGCATCAACGATCCCTCTTGTTCAGGCAAAAACTAGCCTTATGAGCGTATGAACTAAGCAACTATGTGCAAGCCTGGGACCCCTCCTGAAATGGTGTGTTTCATGCAGTGCCTGAAATTTTCATAATTAGTCCCTCAGGTTTGATTCACTCATAGCCACTTCTGAGAGGTCTTGGGCACTGAGGGAACGGGAGAAGGACTGCTAAGTTTTGATGGTAGAGGGTGGCTGTTGAGAGGCAGACAGGCATACTGGGATGCTGCCATGGCTTTAGGGTGTTGCGTGTGGTCCCAATGGCATGAAGATTCTGGGTTCCTGGATTTCCAGAGTGGTGGCTGAAGGGAAGGGAGGGAAGAGGGAGGGCAAAGGACAGGAAGTGCAAAGATGCAGAGGACAAATGTCATCTTTTCCTGAGATTTGCTTAGCCTTGTTCCTGAAATCAAGCCATTCAGATTCTGCCGGTGTTTGGACAAACTTGTGAAAA